GCAGGAGTTTAGAGATGTTCTGAGCTCAGCTATACTCCGTTTCATACATCATGTGCAACGCTGTCAAAGCTAGCGCTCTTGTTTGCGCTGTGTACTGCCGCGACCAAAAAGTAGTGCGTCGCTTGGGGTGTACGACAATCAATAAATTCTCCTCGGGAAACTTCTAAGCATACATATTTGTCATCAGGTTAAAGAACAAACGCCTGTGTTGTCGGATAAACAATCCAAATATGCGAATTGGTAATTTATGTTTGTCGCTTTCGTATCAGGTTTTCGCTCTCCGCGCGGCCCGCGCCGCCGTTTTTTTTTTTTTACTTGTTGTGGCAGCTTCGAAAAAATGGCGTCCAGCTCTGCGTCCTCGACCACCTCTCCTGCGCGAATTTTTTTCGAAGCTTCGCACATCAAAGCTGTCAAAGCACGCCAAGCAAGTAATTGCAAATGTGTACGCCCGTACACATTAACGTCATCTTACACGCAGTACTCGCTCACATCAACGAGGTAAACCGACAATGCGGTATAATCGCGACAAAATCGCCATGCTGGTCCAACCTCGGTGCCAGCTCCGCAGGTTCCGGCCCTCACAAGGGAACACGGTATGCTACAAATGAGTAGATACGTGCAGTTCACTTCCGCGTGCAAGTAAGTTTAAGTTACTGAAAAAAAAAACAAGATTTCGAATTGAACTCGCAAAAATTATAAAAAAACATGGCACCACGTGGATTCGAACCCATGCACTTCAAAACTACGGTGAACTCTCCGGAGCGGCGCGTCAGACCACTCGGCTACGAAACCGCGCGGAGCAACACCTCGTGTTTTCTTTACGGACTACTTGCCTAGCCTTCACAGCGTTGCACCTGATGTATGAAACGGAGTATAGACTGAAAGCTTGGTTATACGCCTCGTTTCTAGTGCAGTTGCGTTCGAGTTTCTGCTTTTCTATTCTTGTTCTGTATTTTTGGAAAGTGTGCACCGAGGAAGTTTGCCTGATGTTCCAAGGTATCACCCTGAGTGTTTACGAGTGGAAGTGTGTGTACTTGTTTTCCTGCTATCCTACCAACCATGTTCCAGACTTTAGCCTCCTGTGTGTATGAATTGATCCCTGACAAAAACTTCTGCCAGCTTTCTCTTCTGGCCTGCCGACGCGTTCTCCTGCCTTGAGACTTTATTTTCTTGAAGGTGTCAAGATTTTCGGCTGTCGGTGAGTTCCGAAGCAACCTCCATGCCTTATTCTGCTCCTTTCGCGCGTTACGACACTCAGTGTTCCACCATGGGACGTGTCGCTTGCCGGGCTGTCCAGATGTTTGTGGGATGCATTTGGCTGCTGCGTTAATAAGGAGAGCTGTGAAATACTGCACAGCTTCATCTATGCTTAGCCCACATATGTCAGTCCAACATAACTGAGCATTGTTATGAAACTGTTCCCAGTCGGCTTTGTGTATAAGCCATTTGGGAACTCGTGGAGGACATTCGTATGATGTTTGTGTACTCAAAACGACAGGAAAATGGTCACTTTTGTAGGGATTATTTAGAACTTTCCATTGGAGTAATGGTACAAGTGAAGGAGATGCGATGCTGAGATCTATGGAAGAGTAGGTTTTGTTGGCAAGGTTATAATATGTTGCCTCTTTCCTATTCAACAGACAGGCACCGGAGGAAAAAAGGAACTGTTCAATGAGACGACCTCGTGCGTCGCAGCGAGAATCACCCCATAGACTGCTATGAGCATTCAGGTCACCAAGGACCAGATAAGGTTCGGGTAGTTGATCTATTAAGGACTCGAATTCTCGTTTTCCAAGACGGTGGTGTGGGGGTATGTACAGAGAGCAGATGGTGACGAGCTTGTTGAAAAGAACTGCTCGAACAGCCACTGCCTCTAGTGTTGTTTGTAGTGGTAAATGTGTGCATGCTACTTTTTGATTCACAATAATACCTACACCGCTGGAAGACGCCGCAGCGTCATCTCTGTCTTTTCGGAAGAGAACATACCGACGCGAAAAATTCGTGTTTTTAGATTTTAAATGAGTTTCCTGTACACACAGCACTTTCGGCGAATGTTTGCAAAAGAGCTCTTGAACATCATCGAGGTTTCTAAGCAGTCCTCTGACGTTCCAATGTATTATTTGTGTTGCCATATTGGAGGTAACGTTGTGCTGTGTGTAAGAAAAAAATGGGTGTGTCTGCTTCTTAAGCTAAACGTTAAGACTCAAAGAACAAAGCCGTCGCCGGGCCCCGTTACTGGCTTTTTATTTCTTTTGGCGCGCTCCAGGGAGCTACGCCAATCTTTCGGCACCAGAGGTACCGTAGTGTCCATTGCCTCCTCAGAGGCACTGCGTGCCCGCATTTGCGAGCTGATGTTTCGGGCTTGGGGCCTCGCGTGGTGAGACGAGGCCTTCATATCGGCCGACCCTGGGGTCTCCTTCCCCTCGGGGGGCAAAACCTTTGGTCCTCTCGGGCTAGAGGTCGAGGAGACCTCCTTTGCTGCTGGGATACCCTGGCTGCTGCGAGAGCTTGCAGAGGCCGTTGGTGTGGCCGTGGGTACGAGTGGCAGGGCAGCCTTGGCTGTTCCCACCGTGGGTGGGGGCATTGGCAACCGCCTGGGCACACTGTGCCTGGCATGGGCAGTTGCCGCAGGCCGTTGTAGTGCTGCCCCCTGTTGCACTACATCGGCGAACGATGGTTTGTTTGTGAAAAGACCAGATACTTGTTGACGGGCTTCTCGGAAAGTAATGTTTTGTGTGATTTTGATTGTAACAATTTCTTTTTCTTTTTTCCATGTTGGACAGGTTCGGGAGTATGCAGGATGGGCACCATCGCAGTTTGCGCAGTGGGCCCCATCCTCCACCTTACACTCGTCTGTGGCGTGTCCTGTGGTGGCACACTTTCCGCAGGTGAGTTGGCCGCGGCAACTCTGAGAGCCGTGACCAAAACGCTGGCATTTGAAGCAACGTCGTGGGTTGGGAATGTAGGGTCTCACATTCATCTTTAAGTATCCTGTTTCGAGATGTTCAGACAGGGTACTGGTTCAAAACATCACAATTATGTGTTTTGTTGGGACTTCCTTCTTATCACACCTAATTTTGATTCTTTGTACTTGTGTCACCTGCTGGTCCTTCCAGCCCTCGAGGAGCTCACCTTCAGTCAGGCCAAGCAAGTCTTGATCAGATACAACGCCTCGGGAAGTGTTGAGTGAGCGGTGTGGTGTAATTGAGATAGGAATGTTTCCAAACGATTCTAGTTTCGAGAGATTTTCATACTGGCTCTGACTTTTTACATCGAGGAGGAGATCCCCACTGGCCATTCTTGTAGCCTGGTAACCTGGGCCAGGTGTAGTGGTGAGGCATTTGGAAACAACGAAAGGCAAAATTGTTCTGACGTTCTTTTCAGCAGTTTCACAGTGGATTACATGATAGTAGGGATAGGTTTCTTTCGGTTTGTTGAAATAGTTGCAAAAGTCTTCGGTGCGCCCTCTCTTCGAGAGAGGACGATCGTGCAATGAAGGGAGAGAAGAAAAAGCCATAAACTAAATATGAGTTCGGCAGCCATGCCAGCCGCCCACCATGGAGCCCAACACGGGGACGTGACAAGTCCTAAATTTATATGAGGCATGTCAACCTCAGCTGTACACAGCCGCTATAACCAAGTATATTGTGCCCAAGACAGAGCACATACACAAGGTTAACCCTTGCCGCCAGGAAAAATCGGAAGTAAATGGAAGAGAGAAGAAAACAGGATAGATTTAAAGACGAGAAAAGACTAAGATGTAGAGAGAGAAATAGGAAAAGGGGACTACCAATTTCCCCTGGGTGGGTCAGCCCAGGGGTGCCGTCTACGTGAAGCCGGGGCCAAAGGGGTGTGTTGCCGCCGCTGGGGGGCCTTAAAGGTCCAATCACCCGGCATTAGCTCAACCCCCAGGATCCCCTTTTCCCCGGACACGGCAAAGCCACGCACGGCTAGGTGTGGGAGGGAGTCGAAACCCCCCCCCCGTTAGCTCGGGTCCGTGGTGTCGCCACTCACCAAACGCCTGCTTGCGCAGGCGCCCCTGCGGGGCGTCCGTATTATAAACAAAATCAGCTAGCCCCGAGTGATGAACAATAAGAATGGCATAGAATAAGGCAATACCCTGCCTCCATCTCGGCGTTGTCGAATATACTTTGACGCGAACGGCTGCTGGTATTAACATGTTAATGCAGCTGTTTTGTTCGTTCACGAAAACGTTTGTAGGCATTCTTCCAGCGTGCTTTTCACCATGGCCTTTTTCTACATGGGCGAGAATCGCGTCGCGACACTGCTAAGAAAGAATAGAAAGCAGCGGACACTTTTTAAATTTTGAGAATAAATGCTCCTTTGTTTCGCCAAATCAGATATATTTTTTCAATTTCACTACAACAAAAATTTAGCTTCAACAAAATTTTTCCCGTGCCCAGTCAGTTTCGTTTTAGCAGGGTTCGACTGTATATTGAATGTCTGCCAATCGAACCTGATGTTATGGCACCCCTAATTGGTGCATTGTACATTCCTCAGATGTATGTGCAAGTTTTCAATAACGCTTACTCCTGAGAGGCCCTCACAAAGACTCCAGCAAATTGACATGGGCTGTAATATGATTTACCAATCCTGATGATCAGAAATATGCAGTACTGTAATGTGTGCTTCTTGTGGAGAGTTACAGTTTTGTAAACTGGCCAGATGCATTTTTATATCTTAGAAATGTTCACAAATTTCAGCAAGAACTTCAAGGCCTCAAAGCTTTGATCGAATAGCATTAACTTGCTCATTACCACAACAAAATCTCATTTCATTTGTGTCATGCAATCATTCCTTCATTGTATAAGCATTTTATCAGGCAGGTAGATTCCCATTACGTCTTTCTTAGGTTATCAAGTTCTCATGAGGTTCAGCTCTAGTATTACACCCAGGCAACAAACAGTGCTGCAACATTATCCTCAAGTACCTCCTATTGTAACCTATCTTATTGCCTTGAACTGCTCTTCATTTCTCACCTTCAGCATTGGCGCAGGGGTCCACGTCAATAGCTGTGGCACCAACGCTGCGGAGGCTTCGCACACCAGCTGCAAAACATAACAAATGACAGCCGAAACAACTTGTTGCTAGTAGAGTAAAAAAAGCCAGTGAGGTTTAATTAGTCACAAAAAGATGTGCAAGCACCTTCATTAGAAATTCACTGAGAGAACAAGTGCTATGAGCTTGTTTTTATAAGGCAAAAAAAGTCAAGCTTAGTGGCAAACACGGACCAATAAACGCGATAGCAACGAATTGGAAAGTCACGCGCAGGATGGCAGGCAAATCGAAACGTGCCCCGCATTTTCATGAACAAATGATGCACGAAACGTACTCACAGGTACAGATGAACGCAAATAAACACTCAGTTCACAGTCTCCGTTTGCAAATAAACACTTTTTGCAAACGGAGACTGTGCAATGAGTGCAGTGACCATTGTGCACCCAGTAACTTCAAGAGAATCGTTCTGGTGAGAACCCAAGGCGTACGATTGTCCCTACCTCAAGATAAGTGAGCACAAGCGAGAGCGCCACCTCTTTGCGGAGCAAATTACGCGTGGGAGATAAGAGCACGCGCCGCCTCGTCATGACGATCTGGCGACACGCGCTCATTGCGCCATCTCATTGGTAATGCTGAAAACACAATAATTGTTCTTCCGAAATGCCCATCACCAGCGGTAAGTGGTAAATATAAATAGCTTGCTGTTTCAACATTGAAGAAGGTGCTCCTTCGTGGCTCAATGACTAATGCCTCGCACTCATTATTCAGAAGTCGTAAGTTCGATTCCGGGCACCACAGTCTTTTTCTGAATTACTTTTCTTTTTTATGTTTTCACATATGTAGATACATACAGTCAAACACGGATACATCGAACCCACATACATAGAATTTTCTGGTATATCGAACATGTAAGTTATACCCTTGAAATTCCTTTGTAAAAGTATAGAAATTCGCACATTTTTGTATCAAACGACATTTTCACCCGCCTTCAGATACTATAACATATACGGTGAATGATGGAGACGTCAACACCGGCAGCAAATTCTAGTAGAGAGTGTCCATATAATTGCTATTGCAATAAAAAAGGACCTTTCAGAGCAAAACCTGTACAGGAATTGTGAACGAACACACATTATTTTGACTAACTACGGGCTGTACAACTGCCTCCATGGACGCTCAAGCTCAAGTGACAAGCTCCATGGACGCTCAAGTGACAATGACAAGACCAAACATGGTGCTCATACAAGGCACAAACTTTGAAAAATATGAAACTATGCAACTCGAAGTAGTGCACCATTCTATAAGCCAGGCTTCTCATATGCTATTTTTCCCAGCTCAGGCAAGAAAAACGTTCAAGTTCACCCTTGCAACCAAGCTTCTTCAGCTACTGTAAAAAAGATATGTTGTTCTGATTTGTTTATCAACTTTCATATGTTGACAAATCTATAAAAGATGCATTAGCAAAAACTGTGAGCGATTTAACCGCCTGACCAGGGCCATCAGCAGAAGCTTTCATTCAGTCCTTTAGTCTACATCTCTGGCAATAGTAAAGCATTGTAACAAAGTCAAGCTCCTCTATAAGAGACACACAATAAGGAGCATTCTTCGCCTTTTAAAGAAGTGCCCCTTATAAGCAGGGCACCAGGTATGCATTCTCTTATCAACCCCCAATTCAATGCAGGCATACTGGTGCCTTTTATAATAACTTCTCTTTGACATCAGGGTTTCTTATAAACGGCTTCAACTGTATATTAAAATTGCAGATATTAGCACAGAATTGTATTAAAGATAAAAATACATTTTGGTCCAAGGACATGAAGTCATAAAATGAAGTTACAAAAGTTACTTTTGACAGCCTGATTGGGATATTTTCTCCACATATTCCTTAACATGTGAAGGGTGCGATTAGCTCCTTTAAAAGTTGGTATTACCTGTATAATTATTCCGATTTTAAAGTAAGCAATTAGTATAGGCTGAGGATTCTAAGAATTCTCACATTACAAGCTTCCTTGTTCATTAAATGTCTTATAAACACTTTATTCATAGTTATTTGCATTCCCCAGCTAATGCAGACCTATATGAGCTTTTAATGGCCCACAGTACCATACAAGTTTAAAGGCAGAAAAAGCTTCTCTAAAAAGAAGTTACAATTTACACATTGTCATGGCAGAAAACGGAACCTGCACAACTTACTATGAAACCACAATATAACTTCATTAGAACAGACCTCCACACTGAAGAGGATTTTGGTATTTATAACTAAACTACTGTTAAAACAGACTTTAGTGTAAACACTGAATGAGTCTGTTATAACAGGAGAAAATTATGAGTCATATACGGATTTATTCTCAATAGGGCATAAGAAAGTTGTTTGTTTGAAAATCACATCTTCAGTTTCTGTAGCCCCTTTTCTCCGATTACAAAATATCTTCAGTGAAAACTACATATACGTGCAGTAAAAAGATTTTTGCACCTTACGAGCTGATGAAAATCATTGTAAAAATCAGCAAAAAAATAGGCGTTTTCTTTTTTTCATTTATGGCTTTGCAACGCCACCACCGTTCTGGGCTCGTCTAAAAGTATCTTGTAAACAGCATTCCGTGTTCAAAAAACAGCCATATGACATTTATTTCGAGACCTCTGATTGTCTCCTTCTGCCCCATTGCCCCGGTACACCTCGACGGTCCGCTGGTCCGGGATACACCTCCAGTAGAGCGTCATCTGCTCCAGTGCATCGCAAAGTAGAAGCTGTCTAAAATTGAGATACTTAGTGCAGCCGTAAGGTATTCACGGGTACAAAATAATTTAGTAAGTAATTCAATTATGTCTTAGTTAAGGCAGCTGTAAGCGGAAGTTTAATCGATTACGATTGCGCGCCGCACTCATCACAACCATCACACATGTGTGTCTTGAACCTACTGTCAGTATTGACTCGTTGGTGGTGTTGTGCCTCGCCTGAATTCCACAGGGTCTTCGTCCTCCAAATGGCGACAGATGCAGAAAATCGTGCAATACCAAATCACCGGCTCCTTTTGTCATGAAGTTGTCATTGCCCAAGCTCTCCGCAGCAACCGAGAGTAACATTCCGAAGCAGCGTCAATACAGCAGTCACATGGCGAATTCTTCAGGGTCGTCGGTTCGCCTAGTCAAAAACCCTTTGGACAGGTGCGACCAACGAATTGCCCCACAAGGGCTTTTTCGGTCTGTGCGCCTTCACATTCCGTGGGGCCTTCTCATTTTCATATCAAATAGACGTAGCCACGAGCGTCGAGCCAATTCAGACATAGGGTATATAAACATGCAGGATGGCAGGAACAAGCTGAAGTGGGAAGAGATAGAAGAACAGCTAAGAGAGGAGAAGGCGATGGTATATGGTTTTGTAGAAACACATCTTAGGGACATGGAACAACCTCCTAACAATCTGGACTACGCGTGGGAATATTGTAACAGAACAGAAGGCAGCAGAAAGGGGGGTGGTATTGGAGCATTCATTCATAAAAGTACAGACTGGCAAAGGGTCAAGCAGGAGTGCAAGGAACATTTATGGCTAAAGGGAAAAGTGGCAGGGCAAATGACACTCCTTGGTTTGGTGTACTTGTGGACGGGAGCAAAGGCCAGAGAGGAAAACCAGGCAATGGTAGAGTGTATATCAAAGGACATTGAGGAGTTAGAAGGAGTGTGCGAGATAATTATACGAGGAGATTGAATGCGCACATAGAACATAGAGATGGATATACCGACCCAACAGGCAAAATGATCGTGCATAAGTGTGAAAGGCATGATTTGATCATTTGCAACAGTACCGAGAAGTGTGAAGGGCAAATAACATGGGAGGTAGGAAGGCTGCAGTCGACGATAGATTATGCTCTGATGTCACATAGGATGTATGATAAGCTCAGGGGAATGCACATAGATGAAGGTGGCTCCAGAAGTCTGGGTAGTGATCCCAAACGTATCAAGCTATGTTTTGGAAGAGAGTGAAAGTGGGATAGAGACAAGATGAGCAACTACAGGAAAATTTTTATGCAGAAAGGCAAATTGAAATAGCCACTAAACAAATTGAGAAAGTAATCACGGAGGATAATAAAACAGTGTGGACATACACTAATCTTATTAGACTGTTTGAGCTAGAGCTTGCTAAGACGCGTGACAACTCACCTCAGAATAGAAGACACAAACCCAAAAGTTGGTGGGATGAGGAAGTTAAGAGAGCCATAGCAAAACGTCAGGAAGCCTCTAGGGAACACAGACATGCTAAGCAGCGGGGTGAATCGACAGATGATGTTGAAAGAACATGGCAAACCTTTCTAAGCTGTAGAAGGAATGCATCCATTGTGCATTGTGATCAACGAAAAGATTAGAAGAAAGGGAGCTCAGTGGCTGGCAGAAATACATAAAAAAGATAGAAAGGCAGCTGCGAAAGTTTGCAACCATCCAAACTCCCTAAGAAATGAGACGAGCCTAGAGCAGAGATTTATAACTACAGCTCAAGGTGCTAGGCTAAAAGGGGACCAATCTATTGAGTATATAAAAACAAGGGTGACAGAAAATTTCAACAAAGAACTGCTTTATGCACCACAATAGACAAGGATGAATCAAATGATGCAATGACTCCATTTTCACAACAAGAGTGGGAAAGGGCTGAGAAGAGGGTTCCCAGTAGTACATCAAGAGTCCCAAATGGCATTCCAATTATGCTGATAAAGACACTAGGTCCGAAGTCTAAGCAGGCTCTGAGAGAGGCAGTGAGCAAAATAGTAATCGATGGTGAAGTCCCCGACAGATAGAAACTTAGCAGGATCAGCACGATCTATAAAGAAAAGGGGACAAAGCTGCCATAAATAACTACCGTCCTATAACGCTGACATCAGTGGTCTACAGTCTGGCGATGCAGATTATAAAGAAAAGACTGCAGGCATGGATAGAGGATGACGGGGTGCTGTGGGAACTGGAGAATGGGTTTCGGAAACACAGGAGGTTGGAAGACAATCTGTTCTCACTGACGCAGTGCATCGAAATATGGTCAAAACTCGCAATAACGAAATCGCCA